TTTTTTTTTTTTTTTTTAATGGTCTTGGTCTTGGTCTTGGTTTCATTTTAATTATATATTGGAATATAATATTATTTTATGTTTCTACGTGCCGCCTACGTATTCCATATACGGATTGGACTGGCATGCATGGAAAATGCACAGTTTTTTTTTTGGAAAAAATATGCAGTTTGAAATGGAATATAGATTAAGGAAAAAGAAAAGGTACAGAAGTAGAAGGGAAGGGATGGGATGAAAGGTGATATCATCGTAGGGCCAGGAAACTTCCACCTCACCATCTTATGTCATGCTTTCGTCTCTGCCACCTCACCATCTTCTTCTTCCCGTTTTCATTTTTGCTTCAAAAGTTGTAATCAAAGCCTTTCTCTCTCCTGTTTTTGTTTTTGTTTTTTGTTTTTTTAATAACCAACCAATGAAATTGAAGAGAGATAATAAAATAATAATAATAATAATAATAGGAAGAGTTAAATTTATTTAATTTGAAGGAAAAAAAAAAAAAGGAATGATTTGAGGTATTAGGAATGTGAAAGAGACATGCATGAGCATGAGATATAAGATTTTGATAATACAATACTATGGTTGGTGGGTCCTTTTATTGATTAGGGTTTCGGGGCGATATTGTCATCTTCTTCATGATTACGTTGTAGTAGCTCAGCGCTCAGCCCGTCCCTAGGTTTATGTGTTTGATATTAGGGTTGGTTTGTAATGAGTTTATAACACAATGAAGGTTGATTTTCAGATAGAGATACGATGCAGAGGAGAGAAGGTGGAGGGTTGCTTGACGATGCAGCATGTTAGAGATACCATTTGGTGCTCCAAAGACTCAACTCTTACAACTTTGCTTCCGAATTCCTCAACCATGGATCACATTATGGTTCTTCACTACGCCATTCTTCCCACTCCTCACTCTTCTTCTCTTTCTTAATTTATTCTAATAATCCAATTATTATCATCTTATTATATCATTATTATTATTTCTCTAATCCAAATATTTAATCTCTCTCACTCTCCTTCCTTTTCTTCTCCCACTTTAGTTTACATTATTATTTAACCCCATATTTCTTACTTTATTAATCAAAATAAATTACTATGAAGTTATTGTTCTTTTTTTTTTTTCGTTTAAGGGGGTTGCCAAGTTCTGAAAATGACCTAGATTTTCTTGGGCTTGGGCTTGTCTCAACATTTTATTGGGCTTGGGTTTGGGCTTGTCTTTCAACATTTTCTTGAGCTTGGGCTTGTCTCTCACCATCTGGCTGGCTTGAGTTGGGCTCGTCTCTCAACATTTTCTTGGGCTTGGGCTTAGGCTGGTCTCTCAACATTTGATGGGCTTGAGCTTGGGCTCGTCTCTCGACATTTTCTTGGGCTTGGTCTTGGGCTTGGCTCTCTTATTTGTAGGCTAAAACTATTTGTTCCATGGGCTTAAGTTACATCTTTTGTACATGAACTTGATCTAATAAATTATGAATCGAAATAAAAATGAACAATAAGAAAATAATAATAAATTGTATTAGAAAAATATAGATCAATTTTATTTGTATATGTTATATAATAAAGAAATAAAAAAGTCAGATGCAACAAAAGAATAAATAAAGAATATAAATAAGAGGGAGAAAAAATAATGGGGTGATTACAAGTAAATGGGATTGGGCGATGAGGAAGGAGTCGAGGTTGAGGTCCACAATGTGAGAATAGTTGCCTACTTGGCACCTGACGGCTGACTGGTGGCTGACTGGTGGCTGACTGGTGGCTGACTGGTGGCTGACTGGTGGCTGCTGCTGCTAAGAGAAAAATACAAATGCGATTATGAGGAAGCTATTTTACCTTTTCTGGATCGCTGACGTGTACGCCCCGATTTCATTCACTCCCTATGCCCTCACTTTCCCCACCGCCCCCTCTTTTCTTTATTATTTTGAATTCTTTTTATTTTCTCCTTTTTTTTATTTCCATCTGCCCCTTACTCGTCTACTCCCTTCGTTGTATATTCTACTTCCCGTCCGCCTCGATTCCCAATCGGGTTAGGTTATAGTTCGTACCTCTCATCACTTTCTTTCTCAACGTTGCGGATTACAGATCTCATATCAATTTTCTCTCTTAATTCAATCAACACTGCTTTTTTCTTTGTTCTAATTGGATCCCTCCCTAAGAAGAAGAAGAAAGAAAGAACATCTCCAATTCCAAACTAGTTTAATTTAATTTTTGAATGTCCGGAGTGTAATTTCGGTTGGAGATCCATCGTTTTCTTTTGTTTTTCTCGTCCCTCGCTTCGTCAAGTTTCTCAGCACTACTATTCATGGACTTTTCAGATCTGATTGGAACGATTTTGTCGAAATTTTCCAAGAAACCCTAGGTGGTGTTGATGGGGAAAGACGGGAGTGTTAAAATTGAAGGCGTCGAAGAAGGGGAAGTCTCTTATACAGCTTCGGTAGAGGAGATCAGTGAGGAGGATTTTATTAAGCTTGCATCTGGTCCTAAGGTAGTGCCCCCCAAAGATTCCAATCGGGAAACTAGAGTTTGGACCATGAGTGATTTGTATAAGAATTATCCCACCATGCGTCATGGTTATGCTTCCGGTTTGTACAATCTTGCTTGGGCACAGGCCGTGCAGAATAAGCCTCTGAATGATATTTTCGTTATGGAGGCCGACCCCGAGGAGAAATCTAAGCGGCCGTCTTCCTCTCCTTCTGCGGATGGGAAGGGAGATGGCGATAGTATAAAAGAAGAGGATAGAGTCATGATCGATGCTAGCGGTGATGAAATGAATTGCGATAATTCGAATGGCGAGAGAGAGGAAGGTGAATTAGAGGAGGGTGAGATTGATATGGATACGGAGTTCATGGAAGAGGCTGTTGATTCCAAAGCAATGTTGTCCGACAGTCATTCTATGAATGATAGTGAGTGTCAGGAACTTGATTTGATGACTAAGGAGTTGGACGACCAACTGAAATTGATTCAGAAAACATTGGATGGTGTTACAATCGACGCGGCACAGAAGTAAGTGAACCGATTTACTTGAGTTTTCGATCAATGTGAATGGTTTTTTGTGATGCGTCCTCGATATGAAATCTCTAGGCTCCGGAATTGACAACCTGATTTCTTTCTTATAGATCGTTTCTGGAAGTTTGCTCCCAACTACAGAGTTCTATAGAGATGTTTTTGGAATTGCTCCAGGTAAAGGTAGTCCTGAGAAAGGATGCGCTCATTCAACGGTTATATGCTGCTCTTCGAATAATCAATTCTGTAAGGCACCTCAATAATTTCCCGCCCTCTTTCGTTTCGCAAATAAATTTCATTTTGCCGGGAAATCTTATTTATTGTATATTATTGATTGACGATAATGACATTGATCACTGGAGACGTTTAATTTTCATCTCAGGTGTTCTGTTCCATGAGCCTCAACGAAAAGGAGGAGTACATGCAACATTTGTCGAGGTTTTTTCTCATCCTAGTCCGTAGTTTCGTATTCATTGTCGAGGGTTAGTCTATTTGTTCACCATCTAACGACCAATTGCTGTGATGCTGTTCATAGGTTGCTTTCTTATGTTAAAAATTGCGATCCTCCTCTCTTTTCTCCTGAGCAGATAAAATCGGTACAGTAAACCATCCTTTGTTTGCTTGTTATATTCCTTGTGATGATGTTGATATCTTATGAATGCGATTTTGGTATGTTCTAGCTAAAGTCAGAATATTTTCTACAGGTAGAGGTCAAAATGCCATCTACAGATTCCCTCTTCCATTTGCCCGGCATGAGAGCCAGTGCTAAAGAGGTCGAGATCCATATGCCTAATGGGGTGAAAAATAAGGATTCCTATTCTGCCTATACAAATGCTGGTCAACATTTGACTTCTTCAACTAAATTCCCTTCGAACTCCATGCCTCTAGGGATTACAGCAAAAAATAGCCTAAATATCTTATCAGAAGGTTTGCAATCTGGGGTATCTAGCCTAAAGGGTAGAGCCCCCCTACTCCCTCTGTTAGACCTTCACAAGGATCATGATGCAGACAGTCTCCCATCGCCTACTAAAGAAGCTCCTACAATTTTTTCTGTCCAAAAATCAGGGAATACCCCTGCAAAGTTGGCCTTTGCTGTAGATGGATCTAGATCGCATCATTATGAAACTGATGCTCATAAAGCTGTTTCGACCTATCAACAGAAGTTTGGTCGAAGTTCCTTTTCAATGGCTGATAGACTTCCTAGTCCAACTCCTTCTGAAGAATATGATGGGGGTGGTGATATTGGTGGGGAGGTTTCTAGTTCTTCCATTATCAGAAGTCTAAAGTCTTCAAATTCTTCTAAACCGGGTCAAAATGTATCAAACTCTGCTTCTAATATATCTACCGGTCTGTTTTCTAGCTTGGAAAGTTCCAGCACTAAAGGACTGATTAGTCCTCTAAATGTTGCTCCTCCAAGTTCTGTGTCAGATCCAACAGTAAAGCCTTTAGCAAAAAGTAGGGACCCTAGGCTACGAATTGTCAATTCTGATGCAAGTGCAATGGGTCTTAATCCACGCACAATGACTTCAGTGCAGAATTCTTCTATGTTAGAATGTGCTGCAACCATAAACTTGAGAAAGCAAAAGATGGATTTGGAGCCTAATACAGGTGTCCCTGAAATAAAAAGGCAGAAGATTGGATCTCAGAATCATGCAGTAGCTGCTAGTGATGTGAGAGCTGTCCCCGGAAGTGGTGGCTGGTTGGAAGATACCATGCCCGCTGGACCCAGACTTCTAAATAGGAATCAGATGGAGATTGCTGAAGCAAATGCAACTGAAAAAATCAATGTTACAAACAATTCTAGTCCTGGAAACGAGGGCTTGCCTACTATAAATGCTAGCAATGATGCTTCCTTGCCCTCACTGTTGAAAGATATTGTTGTGAACCCAACCATGCTCCTAAATTTACTTAAAATGAACCAAAAGCAGCAATTAGCTGCAGAATTGAAATCAAAGTCGAGTGAATCTGAAAAAAATACAATTTATCCTACGAACTTGCGTCCTTGCCAAGGATCTAGTCCACTTATAAATGCTCCTGCTGTGACCTCAGGAATTTTGCAGCAATTAGCAGGAATGCCAAGTGTACCAATAGTGGTTGCTGAGGTAAGCGATTGTTGACTATTTCAAAATCTATGCCCAATATTTTCCTACGCTCTTCTTATGCATATCTGTTTTTTCAAAGGGTGCTTCTTTGCCTCTCCCCATGTGCAGTATAAAATTTCTTATTGCTTATTGTCTTCGTGATAAGAGATTGCCTTCCAATCAAATGGTTGATAATTTCCTTTACACAAGTGCTTGGGTTACCTTGCTTCTAATCTGACTCAAGAATTTAACAAATGATAATTTGGTTATGATTGTTTTGATATGACCCAAGTATTTATCAAATGCCAACTTTTTTTATTTAAACCGATGGTGGAAGGTTGTTTTTTCCTCCATTTTTGGCTTATTATCTATGCTGTTGAAGCATTTGTGATATTGTTTATCATTTCCTGTGCATTAAAGTATCTATATTTTTATTCTAGATTGGTATTGTGTTTGTGTTAAATATTGCACATCTCATCATTTTCAGAGTCATCAGGATGATTTGGGAAAAGTTCGTATGAAACCTCGTGATCCTCGCCGTATCCTCCATGGTAATTCTCCTCATAATGTTGGGAGCTTGGGAAATGATCAGTTAAAAGGAGTTGTACCAACTACTCCAAACTCAGAAGGATGTAAGGACATACCAAATGGGCATAAGCAGGAAAGCCAGGGAGATTTGAAATTAGCTTCTTCACCAACATTACTACCTGATATTGGTAGACAGTTCACTAACAATCTGAAAAATATTGCTGATATTATGACTGTTCCCTCGCCACCGACTTCACAGACTTCATCATCAAAGCCAGTTAAATTGGGCAGGATAGATACTAATGTTGTAGGGTCAAGCTCTATAGACAATAAAGTTGTGACAACTGCTACCCAAGAAGGAGATATGGTTGGGCCCTCTCGTTCACAGGGTACATGGGGAGATCTTGAGCATCTATTTGAGGGCTACGATGACAAGCAAAAAGCTGCTATCCAGAGGGAGAGGGCAAGACGAATACAAGAGCAGAAAAAAATGTTTGCTGCACGCAAACTCTGCCTTGTATTGGATCTAGATCACACACTTCTGAATTCAGCTAAGGTTTTTTTTTTCTTCTTCTGATAACTGAAATTGATTTTCACTATCAACTCGGACTTTCAATTTCATAACTTGGTATGATCTCGTTCTAGTTTGTGGAAGTAGATCCAGTGCATGATGAGATTTTGAGAAAGAAAGAGGAACAGGATCGTGAGAAGGCACTGAGACATCTTTTCCGATTTCCTCATATGGGAATGTGGACAAAACTACGGCCTGGGGTCTGGAACTTTCTGGAAAAGGTATGTTGAAATAGTCAAAGACTGTTTTTCTTTTTCTTTTTCTTCCTTTTTTTTTTTTTTTTTTTGCATTTTATTTTCCTTAAGTTACAATTGGATAGTGGATGTTGACTGGGTATTTTGGTGTTTGTGTTTTCTTTTGCATTTTAGGCCAGCGAGCTCTTTGAACTGCATCTGTACACAATGGGAAACAAGCAATATGCAACAGAGATGGCAAAAGTGCTTGATCCAAAAGGGTCTCTGTTTGCTGGGCGAGTTATTTCTCGAGGTGATGATGTAGACTTAGTGGACGGTGATGACAGGATACCCAGGAGTAAGGATCTGGAGGGTGTTTTGGGCATGGAGTCTGCTGTTGTTATAATAGATGATTCCATCAGGGTGTGGCCACATAACAAAATGAACTTGATTGTTGTAGAAAGGCAAGCATATCATCCATCCCTCTAAACAATAAAATGTTTTTGTGTTTGGTGATCTAAGAATTTGAGATCTCTTGAATTTACTTGTTCTGGCTTCAATGCAGGTATACTTTCTTTCCATGTAGTAGGCGCCAGTTTGGGCTTCTGGGGCCTTCTCTTCTAGAGATTGACCATGATGAGAGACCTGAAGATGGTACTTTGGCATCTTCACTGGCGGTAATTCTGTTGCTCCACTTGTTCACCCGAGTGCAATGAATTAATTTACTTTCCTCATCGTCTTGAACTTTGGTCCATTAGGTTATCCAGAGAATCCACCAAACTTTTTTCTCCCATCCTGCATTAGATGAAGTAGATGTTAGAAATATCTTGGCCTCCGTGCAACAAAAGATTTTGGCTGGTTGCCGTATAGTGTTCAGCAGGGTTTTTCCGGTTGGTGAAGCAAATCCTCATCTGCATCCACTGTGGCAGACAGCAGAACAGTTTGGCGCCGTGTGCACCAACCAGATTGATGAACAGGTTACCCACGTTGTTGCAAATTCTCTTGGGACTGATAAGGTACTGTGCCACTCACTTTTCACTATGGACTGCGGTCTGATATACTTGGGAATTCATTATTCCAGTTTCTCATCAACTTCTACACATATTCGGTGAGGAAATATTTGTTGAAAACTCCCTGTAGACCTGCTGTTAGCTAAAAGTTTGCAGTCAGTTTGAGGATTGGGAGGGTACTTCATATGCATTGATTTAAATGTACTAATTGAACCTCCTATGAGGTGTGTTGATATTTCTGTTTGCAATTGTTTTGGGCAGGTGAATTGGGCTCTCTCCACGGGAAGATTCGTGGTCCATCCAGGGTGGTGAGTTTCCCATTCGCATGTGTTGTTTATATTAGATGTTGAAGTTAGTTATATTTTCACGTTAACCTTTTTGTGTAATGCACAGGGTGGAAGCATCGGCTCTGCTTTACCGGAGGGCAAATGAGCAGGACTTCGCCATTAAACCATAATCCAACCAACCCGCAACCTTAACACACCTCTTGCTAAATTAAAACTGAAAGGTTTAAACCCAAGATGATATAACACGGAGAAGAAATTCCAACACAACAACACGGTGCCTTCATATTTGGGGTGGAGTGTTGGGCGCAAAGCCCAAGACTAAGAGAGAGAGACATACTAACTCCCTATTTAACACGCCCTACAGCTACAAGAATGTGTCCAAAGCCCAAAAAGATTTGAGATTACACTCAAATTATGTGGCCCCGATTGATTTGAGAGAGTGACTTGGGGTTAGATTTGAAATAATCAACGGTCAATGGAGGGAGGGAGGGGGAGAGTTGCAGAGAGATTGAGACAGGCGGGACGGTCCAATTTTCGCTAGTGGGGGGGGGGGGGGGGGNGCGAGTCTAGATCCAACTCAACGTCCGAAGTTTTTCATTTTCGTTTGTTTTTGCTTTGAGCTTTTTTTTTTTTATAATTTTTTTTTATGGCTGGAATTGCATGGGAGAGTACTTCGGATTTTTTCTCTTTAATTCGTCCTGCCCCCCAATTTGAATGAGATGAGGAGAAGGCATAATAATGCAAGAAGATTGGGCAGATGATGATGGTCGGTCGGGGTAGCAGATTTGTGCTTCTTTTTAGCTACAAACAAGTCTGTGTCAGGGGAGGAATAAGGTTCTCAGAAGATGCATTATTATGCTTTATGAAATAGGAATCGTGGGGGGGGTTGAGTGAAGATTAAGTAGGACATGGCAAAAGGCTTCCTTCCTATCATTTGATGACGATATAAATGAGGTCAACAATCCTTCATAATGGGACCAATTTTGTTATTCATTTTCAATCCTCCTTTTTTTCCCTTCAAAAATAGAAAATACATCAAATTGGACAAATTGTAAGTTGATTTTTTCAAATATTTCTGTTTTTATAATTTGTATAGAAGACAAATGGAATTGGGCTAATGGGTTTGGTTTGGTTCGGTGGCTGTAACGAAGGCAGGCCTCAATGAGATTGGTTAAATTATCAACATTTTAAACTACTTTGTAGTTGCAAGATAGATATTAAATCATTGATTGTGGGGATATGGATGAAATCAATTTGGGTGTACCGAACCAACGTCATAACTCGCCCCCCAAATTTCAAGACGGTATTAACCACATAATTATGTGCCATTGCTAAAGTCTTTTGCACTGAGTACAGCACCAATCCACCATATTGGATCCACATCGCTAACTCGTCTAATCCTTCTACATTTGCCAATTCATTGCTCCATTTCAGGAAAAAAGAAAAAGAAAAAGAAAAAGAAATGAATGTTCAAATACTAAACATGTAATTTGAATAATGTGAATAATACACCTTCTAGGTAGCTATAATAAAAGAGGAGTGAAAAAGTCCACACCCATAAAAAGGTTCTAACATTTATATCGATTTGAAACTAGTCCAAAACCAAAATAATTTTTACCTTGTCGGTGTGGTTGAAGGTAAAACTTCTATAAAGTTTATAGAACAAATTGTTTTTTTTTTTTTTTTTTTTTTTTTTTTTTTTTTTTTTTTTTTT